AGTCATGTCTGCTCATGAAGGAGATGTGTCTGTACGTGCAGTATGTGTGTCTGTTCGTGCAGTATGTGTGTCTGTTCGTGCAGTATGTGTGTTTGCACGTATAGTAGGTGTGTCCTTCCACAAGGAAGTTAAAAGGATTGAGTAGTCAGGATTCCAGTCAAAGGGGAAGTCCAGATTCAGGTTGGAAGTCCAAAATTGAGGCCTGAAGGCCGCAGCATCAGTGGACCCTGAGGAAAAGGAACTGTGGCACACAGCACAGAGGCTGGGACTGGGAAAAGAACCAACAAAGACTGAATTCAGACCTCGCCAGGGGAGGCCAGCACTATAAGAAACGAGACAGCCTCCCCACAAGGCAGATTCCCATTGGCATTGATTCGTGGAAGTGTCGTGGCACTTGTGCGCTCTAGTGCAGGAAGGGGCGCTGGAAGAAGAAGCTGCGCCAGAAGGGAGATGAGCTGGGTGCTGGCTGCAGGGAAGCCATAGTTGCGCCAGCCTGAGTTAGTAGAAGTAGTAATAGGGGTTAGTAGTAGGATATAAGCGAGAGGCATTCCGAGTAGATCCTTGTAGACAGGGAGTGTGCATGTAAGAAGAGACAAGGAGAACCGGGGCAGAGATATCGAAAGAAGAGAACAAGGGAGAGTGAAGACAGGTGGAGCCATTGGTTATGGTGGAAACTTACCTGTTGGCGCCATTCTTGAGATTTGGAACAAGCGCTGGCTAAGCCAGGCTCTGTATGTATGTTGGAGCGAAGGAGAGACTTGTATACTTTGGGCGCTGGACTCTTGAACTTGAGATACTCTTGTGTAACGTGATTTTTTATAATATAAACTGCGCTACTTGATTCTTCTCTCATCTCAACTTTGAGCTTGGTGTGAAGCTATCCTGTCTGTGTTTGGTGACATGTGTGCATACGAATGAGACACTCCAACAAGTGTGAGCGGTCAAGGTCCTTGCAATAACCATCAATGACCACCAAGAGAGTAGCCCAACATTTCCCACTCCTGCTCTGGGCTTCCCCTCGCATCCACATCAGCAAACAGTATCCAGTAACGAGTCAGGCAGGTTTTGATAACATCGAAGTGCCACGTGGCACTGTTCTCTCGTGAAGACGATGGATACAATCAGCAGCACACAGTATCGACATCAACCTCAGGTAAGTATCCCGATCCTCCTCAATCATCCACAAATCCCGATCTCCCTCCTTGTCACGTCGAGTCACCCAATATAGACAGCATGAGCAATGCCACATCAACGAAGAAGACAGGGGGCATGCGCCACATCAGCAATGAAGACAAGTGGCATGCGCCACATCAATAGAGGTTGTCGCTCAGCAGAGAAGGCGCCAGCATGCTGCCTCAGTCCCGCGTCGTCGTCCACAGTGCCAGCGCACAGCCAGCGTCAAGTCAGCGTCAAGTCAGCGTCAAGTCAGCATAGCAAGACTGAATGTTGACTTCCTAGCGAGGCTGAATGGCCTCAGGTCTCTCTCCCATGGTGGCTCAGATTGATTGACAGCCGAGGGCCTGAATTGCGAACAGTTGCAGACTTCCACTTGGTCCTGATGCTGTCTTGGTACCTGCATACAAACAAGTGTGTGTGTCTGACCGGCGGCCTGGACTAGGTACATGCAGACCTTGACTTTTGGGTCGTTGGACAGTTGACTGTGGTCAACTATCGGACACACAGGCCCTGAGCCTGTTTGGGATTTTCCTCCCCCTTGGCCTTGCGGCCTCAGGCCAGGGTCACGGCCTGTGTGTGTGGCCCTAAGGCGACGTCAAGGCATATTGAGCAGGGTATTTGATTCCTGCCAGTCCAGATTTTGAGTTCCATTGCAGAAATACATTAATTTCCCTTAACCCACGTTCATATGCAGCAACAATGTCAGGATTAGTAGGTAATAGTTTTTTTTCACTAAACCACCTAGCTTCAGAAGGAGGTTGAGACTTGAACTATACCTTGTACTGCTTCTGCGGTCTTCCTCTGCCACCTGTAGAGAAGTAGCCATGTTCGAGAATCTCTCAACTTCATAGCCTCCATTCATGGAGGGTGGGAACATAGATGGTCTATTTGGAAATTCGTTTCCTTCTACATATGGCAAGAGCTTAGACGCGTGAAAGACAGGATAGGTTATGAGGTGTGGGGATACATTAATTCGGTAAGAAGGTCCATCTGCATCCCCAATCACCTTGAAAACTTCCCAGGGTCCGTAATAGATAGGTAGCAGCTTTTGAGACATATTATTTTCCAAAGAAAATTCTTTAAATTTAACCAAGACTAGGTCTCCTTCTTGAAACTGAGAAGGCCGACGATGCTTGTTGGCCTGTTCAATCATCTGTAGCTGGGCTTTCTGAATATTTTCGTCAACTTTCTTTATGTCTTCCTCATATACAACTGCAAATTCTCGAATGCCTAGGCGTAACCTCTGAATTTGGTCTCGGGTTAGAGCATCAATGAGACGTCGAGGTTTCCAACCTTTATGCAATGCATTCGGTGTTCTTCCTGTAATAGTATGTCTACTATTATTATATGCACTTGCAATCTTAGGTAAGTTCTCATCCCAATCTATCTGATCGGGTCATATATACATGCGCAAAAGTTGTTGGCACAGGCGATTTATGTGGCTCAGTTTGGCCATTCGTTTCAAGGTGTCTACCTGGCGACATGGTCAACCTAGTGCCCTAGACTTCCATCAACTTCTGCCATTGAATCCCAGTGAACCGGACATCCCTATCGGAAACGATGGTCTTTGGGAAACCATATTCTGAGACCCATCGCATCTGAAATTTTTGGATGACTGGTTCAGTCTTAGCTTTAGCAGGCAAAGGAATGAACATAGCATATTTTGAGAATCGATCTACAATGACCATTACCTGACTGTTGCCGTTTCAGCTCTTAGTAAGACTCATGAAGTCTATGAAGATAGACTCACCTGATTCACTTGAAACAGGTAGTGCTCTCAATAGTCCTAGGGGATTCTCATGTGAGGGTTTGTTTGTCTGACAGACAAGACAAGTCCGCACATAGATTAGTACATCCTCTTTCATTCCTTTCCATTCAAAGCATTCTCTTACATCGGCGTACGTCTTCTTAAAACCAAAGTGTCCCAGAGCATCATGACATTCCGCAATGATTAGACTTTTAATTTGTTCTTGGTGAGGAATACACAGTCTTTCTTCGGTTTTATCCAAAAAGAAAAGTAGATCATCAGTCATTCGATACTCAAGGAATAGTTCAGGGTTTTCCTGTAGGATCCCAATGATAAGACTCCAAATAGGATCGTTTATATAACCCTTTCGTATTTGTTCTTTAAGTTCATTCACAATATCGAGGCAGGAGACAATAGTACCAAATAAATTTGCACGTCTGTGCAAAGTATCCACATCAACAGTAGACTTTCATTTGATTGTTTTTAACTCAAAGTCAAAGGTATCGGTGAAAGCGGACTGCAAGGAACATGAATATGGACGAAGCACAAAAATCCAAATTGCATTTTCACACTGAAGTCCAAGTAGTCAAAGCAAGAGCAGATAGCACAATGGAACCGAGTAACCATCCATTTGAGAATGATACAGAAGAATCGTGAGTCAATGTCCAAGCCCAATCGGGCAACACCGACAGCATAACCCAATGTAGCTCTCTCTCTTGAATGGCGTCAGACACCCTACCTACTCTACAGCCTATCACTACAACTACAGTATGGAAGCAACCAGACAACTTGACGACTAGCGAGTGATGATGTCAACACCAATGCCGGCCTCCTCTCCACCAGGTACGTCTCTCTCTTCACCCTCACTCTCCCTTGTTATACCACACAACGCCCTTCACCACCGAAGAACCACCTTCGCCCTTCACCTTCTTTGCGCCCACAGGCAGCCCGGCTATGGCCGCCAGCGCCCTGCGCCCAGGCTGCGCTCTACCGCTTAGCACTAGCCTGCCTCTCTCAGCCACTGCGCAGCGCATGTGCTAGCGCTACAATGCAGCAACGTGGCCGCTATGCCTGCATTGGCCAAGATCCTTGCCCCCTCGCCCTCTCTGCCTATATGCCAGTGTTGCGTGTGGGCGGCCTCCCTTGAGCCGTCGCCTGGGCCCCAGTACCGGTTGGGGCCCACGCAGTACAGTTGTGCCTTTTTCATCCAGGCCTGCGTCCAGATTCAGATAGTGGACCGGTTTCCCATTGGCATTTTCGGCCTCTATTTCCAGCATGCAATGTCGGCCTCACGTTTATATGCCCAGGGCCTAACCAACTTTGAAGGGCCCTGGTCCTTCTGCATTTGCAGAGATCCGGTACTCGGTGCACTCCAACCAACTGGCGTGCGGCAACTGTATGGACCCCACTTCGTGAAATGTTTGAACAGAGGGCTCTCGTTGATTTGCTGGCCCGCCTTCACTTAGGGCGGGCACGATGCTTGCTGGGGGCCTTGGCCCAGAACATGTACATCACGGCAAGGCCCCTTTGAGGGTTCAATCCTCACATTCCATCCCCCTTAGCTTCGAAAGTCCGCTGAGATGCTTACTTCGCAGGTGCCTTCCCTTTTATCATTCTCTCATATTCTGCCACCACTTGAGGAGCTGTGTCAATCAGTTCCTCTCTGGTGAACCACCGATCTTCTTTTGGATCCGTATGATGCCTGAATCTGACGCGATATTCTCTCTTGGGTTTGGGAGGTCTTTTTCGACCCAACGACTTTGGAACAGGCAAGTCTCTGTGATCCACAATGTCGTCGATGTCCACTTGGCCATCCATGGTTGGGGGCAGCATCGATCTCCTTGAAGGGAATTGATCTGTCTCAGCGAAAGGTGCAAGCTTTGAGGCATGAAAGACAGGGTGAGTGCGCAGGTGACCAGGGATACGGATAACATATGTAGGACCATCCATCTCATCCCCAACGATGTCCAGGACTTCCCAGGGACCAAAATACTGAGGCATTAGTTTTTGAGAGACACCGAATTCCTGTCCTAGCTCACTAGCCTCGACCCAGACACGTTCCCCTACCTGAAATGAGGATTGTCGACGATGTTTGTTCTCAGAAGCAATCATTGCTTGCTGAGCTTTCCTGATGTGCTCGACAGCTTGCTGTAGCAACTTCTCATACTGCACACCATACTCAAGTGTGCCGGAGTTGCAGAGGATTGGTTTTCAGGTAAGAGGAAGTCCACAGTTGATCTAGGCTTCCATCCCCAGTGCAGCTGATTAGGACTAACGTCGGTACTGCTGTGTACAGCGTTGTTGTACAGGCTGGCGATGAGAGGCAACTTCTCATCCCAGTCATCCTGGCTGGGCTTGATGTAATGCCTCAGCAAATGTTGTACAACTCTGTTCATCTGCTCGGCCTGTCCGTTGGCTTTGGGATGATTCCCTGAAGTCATCTGAAGTTGACTGCCCATTTGTTCAGCAGTCTTCTTCCACAGCTCAATTGTGAAGCGGACATCTCTGTCACTAACGATTGACTTTGGTAGTCCAAAATCACGCACCCAGTTGTCCAAAAACAACTCGATGACGTGTTCAGTCCTTGCGGTCTCTGGCATGGCAATCAGTCTAGCGTACTTGGTGAATCGATCTATGATGACAAAGATGTGCCTCTTGCCATTCCTACTCGTCACCAGGGTGTCCATGAAGTCCATGGAAACACTCTGTCCCGAACCAGCGGGGATAGGTAAGGGCTTCAACAACCCAAGCGGTGCTTGAGTTCGCGGTTTGTCCCGCTGACAGACCTGACAGGTCTCCACATACTCCTTTGCATCTTCTAGCATTCCGGGCCACCAAAATCGCTGTACTAGATTGACACTCGTCTTTTTGTAGCCAAAGTGTCCGGTTGCGTCATGACATTCTCCTAAGAATAARCTACGCAAACGTTCATTAGATGGACAACTAACCTTTTAAATCCGGCCTTATCAAGAAAGAGAAGCCTGTCCACCATCACAAACTCATCTTCTGTGGCCTTGTCTTTTGCCAGAAGTTTGCGTATGATGTCCATCGTGACAGGGTCTTCCTGATAGGCTCCCACCAGTGATTGAGTTAGTTCTTCAGATACACCAAACTCAGAAACTAGCGCCCCTAGGTAGTCTGCCCTACGTGATAGCGCATCTGCAACCTTGTTGTACTCTCCCTTCAGATACTCGAGCTTGAAGTCATATTGATCTATGACCTCAATCCAATGCTTGAGTGCATAAGAAAGAGCCGGTTGAGTCTTGATCCATTTAAGGGTCTGATGGTCAGTTCTCAAATAGAAAAACCGTCCCAACAGAAAGTGCCTCCAATGGACAAGTGCTTTGTAGAGAGCATAGTGTTCCCTTTCATAGGTGGACTTTGCCAGTTTCTTAGATGACATCTTTTTGCTCATATACTCAATCGGTCTCAACTTCTTCCCATCCTGCTGAGCCAGCACTGCGCCAATGCCGTATTGGCTTGCGTCAGTGGTGACAATGAATGGCTTTTGAGGATCGGGCACCATGAGAACCTCATGATTCATGAGTGCATGCTTCAATCGTTTGAAAACAGCCTCGCACTCATCACTCCAGTCCCACGGTGTGTCAAGTCGAGTTAGATCAGTCAAAGGAGAGGCGACTGTGGAATAGTTCTTTACGAAGTTTCTATAGTAGCCGCACATTCCTAAGAAAGATCTGACCTCAATAACAGCCTGAGGTCGTGGCCAGTCCCTGATACTAGCCACCTTCACATCTTCCGGCCTAATACCTTCCGCGGATACTTCATGACCCAAGTATAAGATCTTAGTGCGTCCAAACTCACATTTCTCTAGGTTGACCTTATACTTGTGCTATCGTAGGAGTGAAAGTACAGTCTCAACATGCTGTGCATGCGCCTCAACAAACTTACTAAAGATAAAAATATCGTCAAGGTAGACAATGACAAACTTATCTAAGTGGTCATGGAAGATCCTATCCATGGCATGCTGGAATGTACCCGACGCATTGCAAAGGCCAAAGGGCATCACTACAAACTCATACAGACCGTATCTGGTCTGAAAAACAGTCTTGTGCTGATCCTCAGGTCTTATTGCTATCTGATGGTAGTCGGACTTTAAGTCTATCTTGCTATAGTACTTACATCCTTGCACCCTATCCACGAGGTCGTCTATGCGAGGTAGAGGCTCTGCATTTTTCACTGTGATGGCATTGAGGCCTCTGTAATCAATGCACATCCTCAATGTACCCCCCTTCTTCGGTACAAATAGCACTGGAGATCCGAAGGGGGAAGTACTCGGCCGGATCCATCCCTTTTCTGTTAGCTCTTTCAGTTGTCGCCGAAGTTCATCCAACTCGGTCGGAGCCATCCTATAGATCCTTCCCTTTGGGGTTTTACTCCCTGGAATGATTTATATGACGTGGACAACCTCCCTATCGACGACTCCTGTGGGCTCTGCGAACAGATTAGGGAACTTAGCAACGACGTGTTCTATCTCTAGGGGTGTTTTAACGGCCTCCCCTTTCTCAGAGACATACACCAGGTACATACCCTCCTCTTGGTTCTGTTTATAGTAGTTATAGAACGCTAATGCACACAAGCAACCATAGGTATCGATTATACTACTGGCTTTGAACTTAGTCAGTCTCACTGTTCTTCCATCAGGCAACTTATGCTTTAGCACCTTCTTGTCCCAGTCGAACTGGGGCTTGGCAACCTCAAGGTAGTACATCCCTTACAACATATCGAATGGTAAGTCGTCGCTAACCAGGAACAAAATCTTATGATTAAGTTCCCCTCCTCCATAGGAAAGGTACAGACTACATCCTTGATATAGTTTGTGACAACCATGCGCTCCTTATTGGCCAAACTAGATGCTACGGGTCTACTAAAGTAAGTACCTAGTCCTTTAGGTGCAGCCTTTCCAAACAGTCACGACTTATGTAATTCCGTGTGGAGCCGATGTCTATGAAGGCACCACATTTGCGGTCTCCTACAACAACTTCCACAACGAAATATTCCCCTCTAGGACCTCTTCTTAGTGCCACCCAAGATTCGCAGGTCCTTGCTTGACCACTCACTTTCTAAATCTTCTAAGACATCAGACACATCCAACGTACAGAGCATAGTTTGGTTTGGATGAGTCTGTAGGGTGACTAAAGAGTCATTAGCTATGGCCTTCTCATGAAGTGGGGAGGGTATCTGGCCCACTTCACCATGAGTAGAAGCAGCTAAAACGTCCACCGGCCTCACATGTTTCCCGAGCTAGAAGCCTGGGAAGAAGGTACCCCTCCCTTAGGGGGTATCTTCTGCGTGGCCTTTGCGTTCTTGCACTTGTACTGGGTGTGTCCGTATTCACCACAGTTGATGCAAGCACCACACACTCTACGGTCCCGCCACACTTCTTGATCAAGACCTGCCTTGACCCAATCAGCAACTTTGGCCTGGTTGGAGGCGGCCTGCCTTTGACTCTTTTGATGGCCCTTCCCTCGATCACCTGCCTTAGTTTTTACAACTGCGGCGAGGGTGCTACCCTCAGCGGTCTCCTCGTCGTCGTACTCTGTATTGTCCAACATGTCTGAAAGCTCCTTGATCTCAGTTTGGGTCCCATCAGACTCAACCATAATCAATCGACTCCACTTATTCTTCCACTCCTGTGAACTCTTCTTCTTCCTCCCGTCTACTGGAGTAGGCTGAGCACTTTCTAGAGTAGCCTCCAAATCTAAGGCCTTTCTAGAGAAGGTCTCAAAGGAATGATACTCAAGGCGAGCCTCGCTGGCCAACAAATTTATGAGGTTCTCTGGGAGACATCTCACAAACATGGTCAATAAGACCTGGTCGTCGTAGCGTATGCTGGGAACGACGATGAGGCTCTCTACGATAGACGTTAGCTCTCTGACTGACTTGTACTTTCGTTGGTCTTGTCTGAGCATCGCATCAGTGGCAATTTGTGCCCGCTGTGGATTATGCCAGCGAGCTTCTACCATGTCTAAGAACTCTTCTAACGTAAGGGTCTTAGCCCAGTCTGCCATTCGTCGTCCGTATTGGGCCTTTGCTACTAATCCATCCAGCCATTTGGCTGCCTTACCCTCAAGGTAAGATGCAGCAGTAATCACCTCCTCCTTCTGCAAAGTCCTCTTTGCCCTTACCCACACCGGAACCGTTCTCAACCATGTGTTGAGTTCCTCGTCCTTCTTCTCTCCGGAGAAGGCAAGGGGCGGTTTCATAGGGGTCTTTGGGTACCATTGACCTTGCGGCTGTCCCTGTTGAGGAACAGGTTGTTGCGGTGATGGTGTAGCTATCACCGCTGACCCAGAAGAAGAAGAAGCAACAGTCTGTGCGTCTGCTGCAGACGTACCACTTGGTTGTGTGCCAGCTTGTACCCGAAAGGGGCCTGACATCGTCGTTAACGGCAATGGCGACTGTGCTGCTGGCCTAAATCCTGGCCTTTGCAAAAGGTCCAAGATCTGGTCCAAAGAGTTTTGCATGAAGTCCAATCTGTTGTCCACATGCGCATGCAGCGACAGTATGCTGTTCTTCAATACTTTCATTTGGTCAGACATGGCTGACTCGTCCAAACCCTCTAATGCAGCTTTGTCTGCCTCTAACGTATCAAGCCTGGCTGTTCTATTTTTGATCTCTTTTTCTCCGTCGGTAGCTTGCTTCAGTTCCCTCTCTAACCGAGCACGGATCCTTTCGACTTGTCGGAGCTCTAGGAGCTCCCTGCCGCATGGGCTCAACGGGCTTAACTGCGAGCCCGCCATTTGACTTGTGGACTGACTAGAACTTACTGCCCCGAAAGTACCCGTGGGCCCAGGGGGCATTCCCAACTGGGTCTCAGATGAGGACGCAGCAGAGGCTGCGCCGTTAGCCATTGCTGCTGATCTGGCTGTTGCTGCCTGTTCTCTAGCTGCTGCGTTTGCTGATGCCAACGCCTCACTTGCAGCTAGTGCTGTTTCCCTGATTGCTGCAAGAGCACGGGCTCTATTCTGGGCACGAAGCCGTCTTTCGTCTCCCGGTTGTAAGGTCTGAAACACGTGCGGGACCCTAAGTGATCTCGAACGTGTCAGTCTTGCATCGTCAACTCCACCCTCATCGGTGTCTGACCCGCTCATCAGTTAGGAAAACACTACCTGCACTACAACTCCCTGCTGGAGTCCTACCACAACATGTGTCTGACCGACACCTAATTTTCTAGAAATAAATGTGTCCGGCAGGTCCTCTACTTGACCGATTAAGTGGCATCCTACAACATTCACAGAAGACTATCAACATAATCTAGTTGCATCGTGATTAGTTCACTTACATAAGTTTTGCATAGAACTGGCTAGGGTAGTATACAACAGTACTAAACTAAAACTGTCTGTGAGGTGTTAGCAGTCTGCCAACCAACTAATCAACAATAAAACTAAAATATGTTGCAGATGTATGAACAGTGGGTATAGTTGTGTTTACAGTTGAGCACCAATTAGAACCTACCCTCCCCTCAATCCAACATACCGATGAGCATCAAGAGCAGCAGTGTCATAGGTGTGCAATGTCGGCCCACCCCTGTGCCCCAGGTGCATGCTTATGACCAGGCTTGCCCATTCTTTATCCTCGCGTGCAACGAGTCGTACGTCCGAATGATCTGGCTGATCAAGAGGCCTATTTAAGGACTGCCCCCAAGGTTGCTAAGGAATTATTTAACGTCGCAATCAGGACGACGATCACAACCAGTATCTGATCGGAACCGCATCCAGAAATGTTTATAGACGGTCTGGGAGCGTCTGCATAAGCCTGTTCGGTCCGCACACCCCTCTATCAGTGCAACAAAAGTGCCCTCAAGGACAAAGCAGCCATCGCATGCGTGTACTAATCCCATTGGGTTGGCATGGTGACCGTGACCCATGTGCTTCGACCAGGGCCCTTCAGAGGCACCGCCCTTTCTCCTTCCAGATGCTTCACCGGGAAGATTGTCGTCTCTCAAGGTAGAGCGCTCACGACAACTCACCAAAAGAGAGGACTCTCAAGTTGGACTCACTTCCTCGCGGTAAGAACCAGCTCTGATACCAAAAATGCAAGGAACATGAATGTGGACGAAGCACAGAAATCCAAATTGCATTTTCACACTGAAGTCTAAGTAGTCAAAGCAAGAGCAGATAGCACAATGGAACCGAGTCACCATTCATTTGAGAACGATACAGAACAATCGTTAGTCAATGTCCAAGCCCAATCGGGCAACACCAACAGCATAACCCTATGTAGCTCTCTCTCTTGAATGGCGCCAGACGCCCTACCTACTCTACAGCCTATCACTACAACTACAACATGGAAGCAACCAGACAACTTTACGACCAGCAAGTGATGATGTCAACACCAATGCCGACCTCCTCTCCACCAGGTACGTCTCTCTCTTCACCCTCACTCTCCCTTGTTATCCCACACAGCGCCCTTCACCTCTGAAGAACCACCTCCGCCCTTCACCTTCTCTGCGCCCACAAGCAGCCCGGCTATGGCCGCCAGCGCACTGTGCCCAGGCTGCACTCTACCGCTTAGCGCTAACCTGCCTCTCTCAGCCACTACGCAGCGCATGTGCTAGCGCTACAATGCAGCAGCGTGGCCACTATGCCTGCATTGACCAAGATCCTTGCCCACTCGCCCTCTCTGCCTATATGCCAGTGTTGCGTGTGGGCGGCCTCCCTTGAGCCTGCGCCTGGGCCCCAGTACCTGTACCCAAGCCCAATGCGGTTGGGGCCCACGCAGTACAGTTGTGCCTCTTTATTCCAGGCCTGCGTCCAGATTCAGATAGTGGATCGGTTTCCCATTGGCATTTTCGGCCTCTATTTCCAGCATGCAATGTCGGCCTCACGTTTATGTGCCCAGGGCCTAACCAACTCTGAAGGGCCCTGGTCCTTCTGCATTTGCAGAGATCCGGTACTCTGTGCACTCAAACCAACTGGCGTGCGACAGCTGTATGGACCCCACTTCGTGAAATGTTTGAACAGAGGGCTCTCGTTGATTTGCTGGTCCGCCTTCACTCAGGGCGGGCATGATGCTTGCTGAGGGTTTTGGCCCAGATCATGTACATCACGGCAAGGCCCCTTTGAGGGCTCAATCCTTCCCAATGATAAGACTCCAAATAGGATCGTTTATATAACCCTTTCGTATTTGTTATTTAAGTTCATTCCCAATATCGAGGCATGAGACAATTGTACCAAAGAAATTTGCACGTCTGTGCAAAGCATCCACAACAACATTAGACTTTCATTTGATTGTTTTCAACTCAAAGTCAAAGGTATCGGTGAAAGCGGACCATCTAACTAACTTATCAGAGAGTCTTGGTTGAGTCTTTCTCCACTTCAGAGTAGAATGATCTGAATAGACAGTGAATTGTCTCTCTAACAAGTAGTGTTTCCAAGTGTATAGTGCAGCAACCAAGACATACAATTCCCTTCCCTAGGTGGAGTTGACCGCTTTCTCTGATGGAAGTCTGTTAGACATAAACTCAATACGTCTATATCCCTTACCATCATCCTGTTATGGCACAACCCCAATTCCATACTGACTTGCGTCGGTCGTGACAATGAAAGGGAGAAAAGGATCAACAATCCTTAAGACAGGGTGGTGAGTCAGTAGATGTTTTAACCTTTTGAAAGAGGACGCACAATCTTTGTCGCACAACCAAGGTTTTTCTTTCTTCAATAATCTCCTCATAGGAGCAGATATTAAAAAGAAGTTCCTAACAAGCTTTTTGTAATAACTGGCTACTCCTACAAAAGATCTCAAGATTCTCAACTTAGTTATAGTCTTGGGTTGGGGTCAATCTCGAATTGTTGTTATCTTCTTTTCTTCAGGCCTTAGTCCCTCTTCGTTCACTATATGCCCTAAGTACAAGACCTCAGGCTTAGCAAACTCGGATTTCTTAGGATTCAATTTGAAGTTGCCTTCGTGCAACTTCTGTAGAACCATTCGTAGGTGCTTCTCATGATCCTCCGATGCCTTACTATACACGAGGATATCATCGAGATACACAACTACGAACTGATCCAACCATTGACATAACAATTCATTCATGGACCTTTGAAAGGTCACAGGGGCGTTAGTAAATCCGAAGGGCATAACCACAAACTCATAGTGACTATACCTGGTTTGGAAGGCGGTCTTGAGTTGATCTTCAGGAGCCACCTCGATTTGGTGGTACCCTGACTTAAGATCAATTTTGGTAAAGTACCTGCATCCCCGCAATTGGTTCAATAAGTCCTCAATCCGTGAAAGTGGTTCCACGTTCTTGACAGTAACGACATTCAACCCACGATAGTCAATGTATAATCTAAGTTCACCTTCCTTTTGGGACACGAATAAGACAGGAGCACCATAAGGAGATGAGTTGGGTCGAATCCATCCTTTCTCAGTGAGTTCTTGCAGTTGTTTTCTAAGTTCCTCAAGTTCCCTAGGAGAAGTGCGATACATGGGACCTTTGGGAATCTTACTACCGGGAATGATCTAAATGGTGTGATTGATGAAACGCTCAGTTATTCCCGTTGACTCAGTCTGCAAGTCCTTGTATTCATCCAGAATTTTCTCAATAGAAGGAGGACAGGTTGAGGAACACTCACCTGCTTTCTTCTTTGAGACCATAGATCTAAAGGTTGGATAACTCATACAACAAAAAGACAAGGTTGAGTCATATCCAAACTTATGATACAGTTTTATTATTACTATTTCATATTTTCCATCTTTTAGTTTGACAACCTTTTCTTTAAACTTGACTTCTGGTCGGTTTCCTCGTGCCAATCCATTCCCAGAATCATATCGAAAGGCATGTTCGTTTTAATTAGGAAGGATACTTTGTGTAAGACATTTTTTCCCTCCTTAGTCCTGAGATAACATTTCACATGATGGACGTATTGAGAGACAGTGACCGTGCTCTTGTCGGCCAGCATAGACGTGGTAGGTCTAGGTAAATTTTTTACCTTAATTCCCAGATGCAATTTACGAATTGCCTTCTCTGATATGTAGGACCGTGTCAATCGTGGGTCTAACAAGGCATCTACTCGCGTACGTGCAATCTAAATGTCTGTGATTATTAACTCACCTTTAGATCTAGCTTTCTTAGCCCATGAACTCCTTAAGGCTATTAGTTCATTACCAAGTTCATCAAGGGAATCGTCCAGAGAGACAGAACATAAAATAGTTTCAAGGTGTTCTAGGTGATGGGTTGAATAAGAGTCGTCCTCTACCATGTCAGTCAAGGGGTTGAAAGGGATAATTGGTGCCTTACCTTTATCTGAACCCCTCAACTCAGTAGTACCAGACGCTACTCCTACTGGCTGCTCGCTTTTGGGTTACGGATTCATGGGCACCATGCTATCACGTTATCAGTGCGAATACACTTACAAGGGTATCCGCCCTGTTTTTTGCAAGCGAAAAAAAAAAAAAAAGTTTGGTTTAAAGTTTAAGTATATCACGCGAGGCACGGTTGTGTCAGTAGTTTACGATGATAGGATAGTTGACTAGAGTAGAGAGTGTGTGGGCGCACAGACTTAGGCACGAGTGATCTCTTCGTTTGTTGATGGTTGAGAAACCTGCATAGGTGTCGGGCGAGTTTGTCTGATTGAACTAAGGATTAAATAATATTTTTCTCTTCATTGGTGTGCTTGGTTATGACTTGTGCGTACGTACGAAGGGCGACATCGACAACAATGTGATTTTAAAACGCTTCAGTCGACCTGAGTGTTGAGCGATACCCGCTTATATAGGCGTCTGACAATATTAAGCTTAGCCTTGGGCAGAACACTATTGGTTATGGTGTCGGACTTTCAATAGGGAGATTCAGGGATCAAGGCCAGCGGCAATGGGATAAGAATATTGGAACGGCGTGGAGAGACCGAGGGGTTGAGGGTCCGGCGGGGCTGCCCCCCTTGATTTTGTTGTCGGCAGCGTTGGAACGATATTAGTGGATTTTTTTCCTCGTCCATCGTCTTTTGACGATTAAAAGTTTCTAAATACTCAATGTCGTATTATCCTAACCCTTAAGCAGCATTGGCCGAGGGGGGAGGCCGGTGTTCGGATTGTAGTTTTGATGCGGGCCGGCGGATGAAGTGGATCGAGGGCGGGTGGGCGTGCAGAGTGACGCACGTACGGAATTGTTCACAACGCGCTACTAAACGAGAGAGCGCGCCCACGGGGCCGGGTACA